TTGGCGAGAGTAATCCAGCGTTTCGATTGGTTGTTCATTTATCGGGGGGAGACTTCAGCGGAGGGGGGGGGGATGATGTTAACCGAAGAATCAACTTCGAACGGCCTAAATGTAACAAAAAAGGACTCATCAACTTCAAAGCTCATAAACCAAGATACAGATACTAATAGTAGCGATTTTTTCTTTTCTGAATCTACGTTAAAGGTTTAGATTTAATTACATGTACATAAATATTATTATATGGTGCATTTACAATCTTATGTCTAGCAAAGGTCACTAGATAAGCCCGGATCAAAAGAAAGGCCTTCGTAGTTTACTTATATATTAACTAAAGAATGTGTTGGTAAATCTTTATAGAAAGCAGCATACATACCAATGTTTTACTTTACTACGTCCAGTAGTTAGAAGCTATTGGACTGGACCGTATCAAATTACTATGTCCCAGCAGTCCAATGACGCAGCACTGGACTATGTCCAGTTGACAACACTGATACAGACATATGGCACATCTTTGCCTTAACACAAACGTTAATTTTGCGTCTTGATAGTTAATTAAAAAGATGTTACTTCGCAGCAAATGCAATGGACCGGTAGTCAAGGAACAAGTGCGCATAGCACGTGTCAAAATAAAAGCATAAAGACTATTTTCACATCTTTTACGGATTCTTTTTCGCTACAATTTGATGCTTATTACTGTATTGTATAACTCTAGCTATTATAGCATTAAATAGTGCCAAAATGTATTTATTACAGTATTAAGTGTCCGGAGCTTTAGTTGGTGACTGATTATGTAATCAACCAATCAACATCACAGAAGCGAACAGACAGAATACACGTGATAGTGTTGATCGTTAAAGCAGTGTCCGGACAACTATATAAAAGTTAGGAAATAACCAAGTAATTCCAATTATAAACAATTCCAGACATAAGTTTATAAACATTAAAATATATATTATTTTATTTGGTTCCTGGAGTTGCAACAAATTCACTAAAGTAACCATTAACCTTAAGCCTTTTATAACAAGCAGTTAAGCCATAAATTAACAATGCAGTGCTAACAACAGCAGCTACAATCGAGCCAATAAATACACCTAAACTAACACTTGGATTTGTATTTACATTTATACTTTTATAATTTGATGGGTTAGTCGATGATGAATTTTGATTTTGACTTTGACTTTGATTTTGACTTTGATCCTGATTTTGATTTAATTTAAATTCATTCACCCATTTGTATTCAGAATCATTACTTATATTAAGAAGATAAATGTCATTACTTAATAAATTAGTTTGATAATTAACACCTATTGAATAATTTAACATGTTAATGGAATTATAAATATTATTTGATGGAATAGTTTAAATTAGTGTTTCGGACGAATCCGAAATATCTCGCCGGACGAAATTATTATACTGACAAAATCTTCTTTGACTTTAAAATGTGTCAAAGTTATTATATATTTTTTGTGGATTGATCCGAAATTATTTCGTTTCGGTGAAATTATTTCTTATTGGCGAAATATTTCAGATTCTGGAAAGAAGTTTAGCCCGAAACACTAGTTTATATTTACAATTAATACATACCATATGCTAAGATCATATAATTATTAACAACATTTGCAGTATGAAGAAGCAAAGAAGGTGGTGTAAAATCACCAGTTACTATTTGCGAGATCCATGTAAAAGGTTTCGAACTTAAATCTAATACAACTAAAGTTGGTGTTGCAGGATGGTTATAATCACCTTGCTTGCTTTCTCCACCATATATAATCAGTCGATTTTTATTTAAATCTTAAATTTATTTGACAAAATTTTAGTATATATAATTTATAATTGATAAAAGAAGTCATATCAGGAAAATTGGTGGTCCCGTGATTTCTGGGCTATCAACGATTGCGTATATCATATGAGGATTATTGGCTAACCTTAAGCATCAAAATAAACTATTGTATATAATGTATAAATAATTATTAGATGCGATGTGTTAATGAGAATTATATGTAACCAATTCTCGTTAGCTCCACATTCGATAACTATATATTATACAGTATATATTATAAGTGGTTCTACTCCAAAATCACGAAAGACAGATTCTCGAAAAGGACACAATACCGACAAAGTTAGCCAGCATTAGTTATAATGCTGGCTAATTTAGTCAATATTATGTTCTTTCGGGGAAATGGCCTTCGGGATTTTGGGGTAGAACCATTATAAGTATTGGGGCAATGTCACGGGACCGCCGATTTTTCTGACAAGACTGGTTTACTTGAATATTATCAAAATTTTCAATTACTTAATACGGAAGTAAAATATCCACGGCTTTCAGGAAGTGTACCAACTGTAGACTTTAAGAATATTATAAAATATTAAATAATTTTTATTATTTATATTAAAAAAAGGAAATGTCGAAAAATTCATACATACCACATTTTGCCATGAATTATTATTCGTATTATATAAATAAACCTAAAGAATGGATCAAGTTCAAATTAAGATAATAAATATAATTTAGATTTGCAAACTAATAATAATAATAATAAAAGACTTACAGTATCTAAGCCAGTAGTTTGACCAGATACATATCCACCTAAATATAAGATATTACCATCCGACAATAAAGCAGATGCATAGCCATCTCTTCCAGAAGGGGCATCTAATAAAGTAATATTTGACCAAACAAATCCAATACTATTTAACATATCTAGAGAATTATAATATGTTCCAGCAATATTATCAAATCCTCCGAAAGCATATAATCTTCCATAAGTAAATACAGGTCGAACACCTTTCCTTATCGGTGGTTGAATTCCATTTGTTGTTAAAGAATTCCAAGTTGAATTATTTGTGTCAAAAGTGTATATTAACTGATAACCATAACTATTATTTATTCCTACACCACCAAAAGTTAATATTATATCATTATAAGGACCAACGACGGAAGAACCAGCTACATCAATGCTTGGAATTCCAGCTAAATCTGAAAGACTTGTATAAGGAATACTATCAATTGAACTATTAAAGTTCATAGAACAATCAATATAAAAGAAATCTTTTGAAATAACAGCTCTATCTAGTGTAGTCGAGCCACTAATAAAATATAATTTATTATTAATAAATGCTGATAAATGGCCAGATCGTGGATTTGGTGAATATGAATGAGCTAACACTGTAAATAATTGCAATATGAGCAATAAAATATATGTTAAGTTCTTCATCATTTCAAAAGGGGTTAATTTTTTAAAAAAGATGTAGTCTCAAAAAAGACCTAATCTCAAAAAGAAATAATCTCAAAAAATTTTAACCACGAAAAGATGTAATTTACAAAAAAATGTTATTGTGATGAATTTTATAATTTACGTACTGTAATGTACGTATGTTTTTTTATCAATAGGCATCAATTTTATGTAATTAGCTTTTTGAAACCATCACAGCATAATTGAAACGGAAATTACACTTAATTAATTACACGAATTTATTATGTTAACATCATGCGGTACTTCGAATTAATACCAAGTCTTCCTATTATTTACCTTTAGGTGATTTATGTTAACTAACGTTACATCATCCCTATTAATAGTTAAATCTTGGTTGCAGTGAATCAGTTACTAAAAATGTAACAATATCTATATAAAGTTGAAATTTTTTCGGTAAACACCTCATATTTATTTAATAATACAAACAACTATGAAAATAATGAATAAAAAAAGAACAAGAAGACTAGGGTTCTTCTAAACTATTCGTGCATTCTGCTATTATAATTCATTAAGAAGACATATCAAGAATGTAGTGAAACGATATCGATAATTATTATTTTTTGGATATGAACAAGTTTTATACGTAATACTAATCTATTAGCTTATTTGATAAAGTGTGAATAAGGTTTGATAGGATCACTTATTGCTTTATTGTTTATGTTTTGATGATTATTTGTGCACATTTTAATGCATCTAAATCGGACTTAAATACCCGGCCGGCCCTTTCTTTGTGTCCGTTTGATGTAGTAATGTTTTTTTTTAATATATTTCATGATAATATAGTTGTTTAATGAGCTGTTATTCTTTTAATATCCTATATACTTTGATCTTTTTTGTTTAAAGATTTGTTAGACAAATATATTCAATAGTTTCTCTTCATGTTTTCTATGTTTTTTTTATTTGTTTTAATTTTTGCACGGTATTATTATCACGGTTTGCAGAATCAGTTGAGTCGACTAAAAAATTAATTCAATTAACTACTATGTTTGGTCAACTAAACCGGTTCCATCCTTACTAGTGATCGATCAAGTGATCACACACAAATCGAGTTGTGATTGTGGTGCAGATAAGTTGTGTAAGAATTTCAAACATAATAGGATTAACCTTGTCATGTAAGCAGTGGATCTTTTGCAGCAGAGGTATCATCATTACCCGATCAATCCCTAAAATGATCGACCAGAACTGGCATTTCTACACATAATTAAAGCACTTGCTTACGCCATAACCACAATTGATTGATCATCACTTGAATGATCACTGGGCTAGAGAATTTTGCTCTAGTTGGTATCTTTGAAGGTTCAATTCATGATTCATATAGCTTTTTTTTTACCCATAAAGTGTACTTATTTTTCTTTGTTGTACTAGTTCATACTCCTATTTTCCTGTGATTTAACATGATTTCATCACGCAGTCACCGTAATTCCCTAAATGCAATTTCCTTAAATGCAATCCTAAACGCAGTACCTCCTTAAATGCACTGATTTTTAATTGTTCTCAAATGCACATTGAAGCTGTATTTAGGAATCTTACTAATTTTGTTAGCAATACGTAAAACTTGCTTCTAGAAAATAAATAGGCATTAATATAATTTGTTGATACGTAGTTTTTTTGTTTAATAATGACTAATAAGTACCTCTAATAGTTTTCTTTTGCAACAGTGTTGTCGCTTGAAACATTATTGGGAAGATTAAAGATCACTGAACCCAGTGATCATCACTGTATCACATGACAATCACTCGGCCTAGGTTAGGGTTAGTTTAGGGTTAGGGTAGGAGTTAGTTTAGGCCAGTTTGTTTAGTTCTGGTAAACAAATAACATCATGATATATTTATCATGTAATCATTGATCACTGGGTTCAGTGATCTTTAAGTATTTCCCCAATTTATCTAATAATAAACATCTAAGTTATATCTAATAAACTTCAGTATACACACATTCATTATTAATCACTTTCCAAATCTAACACGCCTCTTTTAATGCTTCGTAATCAAAACTTCAGTTATATAAGCCAGCTTTTAATCTAGCGACAGACTCGCTGATTTCAGTTCTATCACTGGATTAGTCTGTTTTTATCATAGTATATATTCACCAGATTTAAAAAAATGGTATATTATATCATATAACATAGTATATTTCTGGATTGAGGTGCTAACTCTATATTTTAATTTTGTTTGGCAGCCAATTCTGATTAGCTAAAGGGAATTAGAATATTAATTAACATATGCTAAATAACTTCTAAATTATTTGGGCCTCAAAATGACCCAATGACTAGTTATTTGTCATTTGGGCCTTGAAATGACTCAATAACTAGTCATTTGTCATTTGGGTCTCGAAATGACCCAATGACTAGTTATTTGTCATTTGGATCATTTGAATCATTCCAGATTATTTACATTACTAAGCTATTTAGCCATAATTTAAATTTTAAAAAATTATTTAATTATAAATTATTAAAATCTACTATATATTAAGTGGCAGATCATAGTTGAAGAGTATAAAATAATCAATATTTATTAGTAATATACAGCAGCATTTACTATTAAAATTATATATTGTTGAAATGGTTGGCGATTGTCTAATTGCAAACTGTTAAAAAAAATAAAAAATTCAATATACCAAGTAAGCAAAGGTAAAAATTACAAGCCAAATTGTCTATTTTGTTAGTACTGTACTCAAAATAAAATCTAGGGCACAGTTTCAAATTGTGACCTGAATTAAACATAATTCAAACTATAGTTCAAAATAATATGCACATTTATTATTTTGAGAATTGTTTGAAGTTCGAACCAAATACTCGAGATTAGCAATATTTAGATTTATAATGTTAGAAACACTAACAACTTTTTAGTTAAAAATGTTAATAATTTTTTTATCAATATTATACTTTTTTTAAATATTATTTTTTTCTAAAATTATTAATTATATTTATGTATTTTTATTTAAATTTTTATTAAATAATTAAACTAAACTAGATAGTATTTTATATATAATGTATTGTGAGTTCCAGAATGTAATATAGAGACCTGGTAATTAGTCATGTGAAAAATGCATGAAGCGCAATTTATTACATTCTTGATCGAGAATAGCATTTTAGATTCAGAAGGGTATATGGAAAGATAAAAGAGGATGTAAACACAAATTAAACATTCTTAAATAAATATAAGAGTAGTAATTATATGTAACTTTGTATAGCTTATTAAATCGTAAATACAAAATTACATTTGTAAGTGACGAAATTGAACTATAAATAAAGGCCAAAATGGTCCTTGAGAGCGATATACTCTCTTTGCTCTATTAAATAATAAAATCCCCCAAATCTTATACATTCGCCCATAATAATACACAAACCCTATACCCTCATAAACCTATAAGCATCGTAAAGATCACTGTTCGCTTAACCCTTGATTACATGACTTAACTAACTTGCTTTCATCGCCTCAAGTAACTGAAGCCTTAATCACCTACCAGCTTAATCTAACACACCTCTTTCGAAAGATTACTTATCATCGGTTACGTGAGTTTTTGGATAGTAGAGCAATCGAGTCACAGTAATTCCCCTCATAACATTTTGGTGATGACTGTGAGATCGTACAATATCCTGTCAACAAATCTTGAAGAGATCATTTCAAGCAGCTGGGCTGCAAAATTAGAAGACTCTAATCATAAGAGAAAGAAAAGAGATTCTGGCCCGATTCGATGTATTATAATCCTGGCTGTGGTAGAAGAGAAGAATTAGCATAGTTCTGGTTAGTACCAATGAAGTGTAAAAAGCCAAGGTTGGAGAAAAAGAGAGAACTTACCCAAAAAGAAGAGTGCCAACCCCAATTCGACATATTGTAATTCTGGGTTGAGGCATCAAGAAAGAGAAGAGTTAGTAA